CAGGATACTGCACTCGAGATCTTTGGCTTCCGCTACTACGGAGAACTCGACTCACTACCGCGAACCATTTTCCTAAGGATTTCCGTTCGACTCGAGAGTGCCTCTCTCCCAACCGAATGGAGATCCTTCGTTTCTTTTTCTTATTCTTTTGCGCCTTTTCTTTTTTTCTGTTTTTTTTTTTCCTTTTTTTTTTTTGTTACCTTTGCATTTCATACCTCAATTCGAATATCGAATATCCATAGAGTTTTGTTCTATGCTATACCATAAGAAATCTTTTCGGATAGACGTCACATTTAATTAATTATATGATCATGAAAGATATCGACTAGATATTATTAGGTGCTTTTAAAAAGGTTGATTTATTTACGGATTTATAAAGCAAACGATTTGTTTCTTTCTTTCTCTTTTTTCTTTTTTATCTCTCGGTTGATTTTCTTTCTTCTGAATCTGAAGGGAGATACAAAGTAACGCGGCGGTTAGCCGCATGAGAAACAAAGTAAGAAGGGTGGTGGTAGCGGATGTTCGCGGGATAAGCGATCCTCGTTTAGTCGCGGCTAAAGTCCACGGCGATTGCCCGGATGGCTGTCTTTACATTATCATATCGTGCGCATGCACACGCTCTTCGGTGTTCTCTCCGGCAATAGCTAATGCCATATCGGGATAAACAGGTGGGCCGGGTCGAGACTCGGACTCTCCAGGACTGGAATGTTAGCCAGCCACCTTACATACGTACATACGTATATATGCATGTGAGTTGGTTATATGCTTTACTCGTATATATAAGTGTATATATATATATATATATATATATATATATTGCTCTTCTTATCCAGAAGAGAAGGTCCGGTACTTTGGACCAGGTGTATGGTTACGAGATCTTACTGTGTCGGTCTTGTTAAACTTCGTTCGCATTACATCAAACATTTTACTATTTCCAGTTAATGATTCAGAGAAAAATATACTTTGTATGAAATATAATTCTAAGGACTGCCTTCATCTTGGATAAATTTTCCAATGGGACATTTTCATTTATGTATAATAATATCTTCCCTTTATGTATATAATTTGGATCATTTCGAGAAACTTTTCAACGTATTATAATTTATTTAGTAATAAAGACAACGATTGGATAACAGACAAATTTTCATTTGAAATCATGAGTCCTTAAACTCAGCACGCGTGTTCTCACATTTTCTTGAACCACCTAGTAACACAAAAGCCGCTTAAAAAGCCGTCCCGTAACAGATTACGAATTTATCTTTCGATCCGTAAATGCTCCAGGGGACAATCTCCATTTTAGTGTGCACTTTCCCTCGTCGATACAGTACGCCAAGGCGTGCAACAAAAGGGCGAAGCGAGATAGAGAGGTCGTAAAAACAGACGGCGCCTTCGAAGTATCTCCTCTCTCTCTCTCTCTCTCTCTCTCTCTTACATTACGCATACATCTAAACGCGTTACCTGCTTGTTCAAGAATAATCGTACACGCGCGTACGCGCCATCGTCGATGGAGGAGATGTTCGTTGACGCTCGTAAAGCATAGCTTAAGTTTTAAGGGAGCAGTTAAATTTAAAGCGAGTTTAACCGTTCGCATTATAATGGCGCGTGGCAGGTAGAAGAAGGGAGATCAAGGAGGACAAAAGGGGTTGCGAGGTTAACTCGTCGACGAGAAATGATGGATGTTTAAATTTCGTAGGCAACCCTTTTTTCAAGAGAAAGAAAGAGAGAGAGAGAGAGAGAGAGAGGTTGGTCCTGCCTCCATTAAAAAGTACCGATCGGTGGGCGTAGTGGGAAAGTTACGAACTACTTTTTTTTTAGAATTTCCAACTAGTCCATAAAAAAGAGAGAGAGAGAGAGCGATTCGCAACGATATATGATTTTGCTTCGTGACTTTAAGCTAGAACGTTGCACAGCACGATATGATCTTGTTACGTTAGAATTATTGCCTCTGTTCATGATTCGCTATGATACTTTTGCCTTTGGACGTTTGCCCTGTTTCTCTGTGTAAAAAAATAAAAAAGAAAAAAAAATAAAAAGAAGAAAAAAAGAAAGAAAAGAAGAGAGAAAAAGGAAAGGAAAAGAAATTTTTCGACGATATTTTTATTAGAAATGTCTAATACAATATTGCGACGTACCTGTTTAAAATTTCATTCGAGAAATTGTACGTCTCATAATCGTAATCGTCACATCGTCTTACGCCCACATGGATTTGGGATGAGATTCTCATGGGTATCTCGCTCGTCGTTCTATGGTGTTACAGTTGTCAGTAGTCCGAAACGATTGTAGCATTGAAACGGTGAAGAGGGGCGTTCGACAAGCATCCCGCAGCTTTGTACAACAGCAATCTCTCCTGTCATTTCTATCTATCGTTGTGACGGAAGTAAATCCTAGGACACGCCTTGCAACACGTACGTGCATAATTTTCTTCATTCTTCGTTCGTTCGTACAATGCATCCCTCTAACATAGTAACCATAGTACACGTGTATACCAGCCAGTTTATGTCTGTAATAATAAAATAGATAATTTATTATTCATATCGTCGAAGTTTCTTACTCGCGTTCTTTGTCGCAAATATCAAAAAATAATGGAAGACTTTGATATGGAGCATCGGATATATCGATTGGATTCTAGACTCCAATCTTTTCTTTTTTTTTTTTTTTTTCTTTTCATTTTTTCTTTTCCTTTTTTTTTTCAGAACCTTCAGAGAAGGCGGACAAAAAGTTGGCGTTATCGGCTTTCTTGTCAAGAGTTTGACCGATCGTCCGGAAAACGGCCCCTTTTTCGTTTCTTTTTGGACCATATTGTCATTGCCAACAATTGAACCCCGTATACTTGGAATATTTCACACGCGCCGTGTTAAAGGGTCACCCTTCTCGCGGCTCCATTGAAAATTTAAAATCGTTGAAGGGTTCCTACGTTCGGATACGGTTACTTATTTATTAAGTCATCAATTTGTTAGATTGTATTTTTTTTTCTCACCCTAACGCATTCAAAGTTACATCAAAAATGAACGATCAAACCCGTACGAGTTACGTGAGAGTTTCTTCTCGAAGGAAAAGTTTCTCGCGTTTCATTCGCAAGATTTTTATGTAAAAAGACAAAAAAAAAAGAAAAAAAAAAAAAAAGAAAAAATATGTCATGACCTAAAAAGTAGAAAAGATCAGAAGTTTATTAACACGCTTGCGTGGCAAGAATTGTCTGTTGAAAGTGATGGTCCAGTTAATGGGGCGCGAATGCGGTCAGAGATGCTTGTTCATTTCCCATGTCGACGTATAGAAAGAAGAATCCTGAGGGTTCACCCTAATGTATTTGCACTATTAACTGTTGTATCGTACAAATGATACGTAAGAACATGCATGGGGACATTCGGACGTAGGATTTATCTTTGATAAATCGTGCCGAGCGTATTGGAGCGTGATTAAAGTGGATGAAGACAATGCCAGTGATGCGATCAAAGCTTATCACTGAGTTCTATGTAATCAGATAGAATTTATAGGCTTTAAGGGATTGGTCCCATGAAATTTATATGTGACAATGCTAATAATTAATTTGTTTAATAAAAAAAAATAAAAAAATTGTTGATTTGTTTAAAGTTATTACTTGCAGGTTCTATTATGATATTCCGACAAGTTAGACTCGTTGGAAATCATGTGAATCATCCGGCACAATAGTAACGTTCTACTAATAGTCATTTTGATCCCTGTGAGAATTCTATAGTGAGTTGTTCACCGACGGTAACTGCGTATTCTACTACTACTAAAGTTCACATTGGATTTATGGAATTTGTAGACGATCCCCATTGGTATATCAAGTTCTCTGCTCCCATGACGAATAGCTGTAACTCGTAGAACTGTATCGAGAGTAACATCGGAGATAATCCTTTTATGTCATTTTATGTAAAGGATAATTTTGTTCTTAGATAACGTGATAAAGTTCTTGACGCGAAATTAATTTCGCATCGCGTTTCAGGTACGATCTCGTAGCGAGATTATATCCTCTAATTACTATTTCCCGAAGGAAGCAGGTTTATCCAACGAAAGCCATTAAAGTAATAACAGTATACATTACGAGAATTCCATGAGTTGTTATATATCGTTTGTCGACCATCAGCGGTTTCTTCGTGTCTCGAGAAGAGAAATTTCGCGAATGGCAAAGACGACGACAGTTGCTTCTGTTTCGTAGTCTTTTCGGTAATTGGATCGAAAAGAGGCGCTGAATTTAGTCAGTGAACAAATTAGATTCCGCTCGGTCAATGCTCGATGCGTCCGGCAAAAGGTGCAGCAGGTGATACCGCGTACGACGTTTCCTGAATAACCAATAAACCTTTGGACAAGCGCAAGCTGTATTAGTCGGGAGGTTTATGTTCCGATCTATCTTTAACAAATTATTTTTTTAATTAATTACACCGATAAAAACGCCGATCATAATTTTCCATTTGTTTACAATATCGGACAATTCCTTGTTAGTTCCTAGATATGGTGCCAAAAAAAAAAAAAAAGAAAAAAAATGAACCAATCGGATAAGAGAAAATTGTTCTTCGATATTTTAGGATAAGGGAGATCAAAACGCAGGCGGTGCTAAATGGGCGGTTAACTGGCTGCTCGGTGAGACGCTGGTTATTTAATCTTTAATCCTGGCACTCAAGGGTGACTCCGCGTCAGCGATACCCCCAGATATCCGCGTGGCATTCGATGCTCACCCCTTAGTCGAACGAATTTCAGGGGTTGTTTCGTAGCGAAGGGTCTTCACGATTCCTAAACAAATCCCTGCACTCACCACCCACCGGTTAACACGATTTAGCTTGGCTATTAAATTTCTCCACTGTTTTTGCAATTTGGCAATCTTGTTAAAATTTCTGAAGGGTAGAGTAATCGGACGAATTCACGAAAGCCATAAACGAAGTACACCTCGCGCAGACTTTGAAAGTGTGATCGGCCCGAGGGCCAAGTTGCATAGCCAAATAACAGCTTAGGTCGGTGCGTTGCTTCTAAAGGATATGTTATTAAATCCTGAGTTGTAACTTGCGAATGACACGGTCCAAAGATTTACGAGTCTGTTCCCTCTGTGATTACGTCTCTGTTCTTCGCTAAGGATTTACATACGAACAGAGCCGGCCATTCCTTTACCAGTGAATATCTGTGTATCTATCTGTATTTGTACGATTCTATTGCTTTTCATAGGAAGCACGTACGATTCAAGATAGGTTAACCATGACTTTTTACACAAAAGTTAACAAAAATATTAATGCGTAAAAAAAAAAAAGAAAAAAAGCAAAGAAACTTTAATTAATTAATCACGATAATTCCGATAATTCCGAGGCCGTGCTTCAACGATTCTCACAGAGATATAGATTTTGCGGGTGGATCGATACGCTTACGGGATAATAAGTATAATCGGATGTTTGGTGGCTCGCGTAACGAAAGACGGCTAACATATTGTTCTGGTAGGGGTGCCACCACTACCACCACCACCACCACCACTACCATGACTACCATCATCGATAGGAGACTTTAGGATTGGGGCCGTCCTCGTCCTCTCTTTCTCTCTCTTTCATATTCTCCCCGTAGTCATAGTAGACCCCCCATGGGAACATTTCACACCGGTAACCACCGCAAAGCGTTTTCGACTTCCCTTCCTATAGCTCGCTAGACATCTATTCCCTCCTCCTTTCTCGCTGTAGTTTTGATTACGCAAAGTCGATTTAGTTAGGGATGCTTTGCCACTTGATTTATAACGTATGGAATCTCTATCTCTTTCTTTAGGATATACAAGATTTAACTATGAGTATTTTGCGATAATATTTGAAAATTCATTAACCAGTTGGAAAAAGTATTTGTGAGAAAATTTGCAACAATTTTTTCCACAAGTTAGAAAAAGAAAGAAAGAAAGAGAGAGAGAGAGAGAGGGAGAGAGAGAGAGAGAGAGAGAGAGAGAGAGAAAGAGAGAGTAACACTTACCAGATACACGTGTCGCCGGAGGTAGAAGCTCCGGTCGGTGCGTTTATTAATTAGAGGTTAGCCGAGTAAGACAAGGACCGCATGGGTGTGCGTGTGGGAGGTGCACGTGAGTGTTCATGTGCTCGTGCACGAGAATGAAAGAAGAAGAAGAAGAAGAAGAAGAAGAAGAAGGTAGAAGAAGATCGTCCTTCTCCCTTCTACTTCTTGAGTCGACTCGTCGAGCACGTCCTGCGGGCTGAGATGAAGATACTAGGAGGTGGGCGGACTCCTTCGTACATAAATCGTTGCTCTAGCTAGTGGCCGAGGTGTTAGGTGAACGCACTTGGAAGGTATACCCGCTTGGAAGCGCATTGTTAAATGTTACACACCTATGAACTCTCTCTTCTTCCTGCTCACACCTGACTCATCCGTTCCTTAACCCAAGAACTCTCATATAGTAATTGGTACACATTGTTGCAAAGAAAAATTGCGTTGAATATCATATATGAATAAGACCGATCTCAGGATCGTTTTGAGTGTAATGTATACAATAACTAGGTCGACAAAGCGACGGACTTAATTCTGAAGTGTCCAGGAAGAGAAAGAGAAGTACAGGACCAAACGTGCTGATCTAAGCGGGGAGGGGAGTAGTTTTGATTTTGGCGCCCTTCCCCAAATGATCCCACAGAGATCGGCACGTGCCAGTCGCACCCTTCGACACACTGCCAAGCACAAAAGTCTCGTCGTAGGCCGTTTACTTCTCTCCCTGCCGTCTCTTCACGAATCCCTTTTTCTCTTCTTCCCTTTTTCGTACGTACCAAACGCGGATCTCTGGCTCGGCTGAATTGTTGCTAAGTCACCAAACGTCAACAGGGAATCGAATCTTTTCGAGTATTTGTTTAGGGCCTTTCGTTTGTTTCTTTAGGGAATATATATATATATATACATCTCCTCACGATGATTTGTTCTCGTAAAAAAAAAAAACTTCTAACTTCTTCTGTTTGTTTGCCAATGCGCGTCAACACCCTTTTGCTCAAATCGAGATATTCAATTCATTTAGGTTTACATTGAAAGTTTTCATTGTTTTTCGTTTGCGAAAGTTAGAAATCGCGTTGTACTCGTAATGTCGAGGAGGGTGGAAGGGGGGGAAGACTGGCGAGCGGTTTGTAAAGTATGAAAGTTAGATCGATTCGACGTAGTTACAATGCTAGTCGTTCATCTTCGTAAACGATCGGCATTGATCCTTTGGACAAACTTCGTCAGTTTCCCATAGACCTGCAGGTTGGCCTTTTCTCGCGTAATACCAGGACTTGGCTTTCGACTCCGGCACGAGTTCCCATATCAGGAATGCAAAGCTTGATGTATCGACGCTTTATGACACAGAGAAGGGAGAGTATAGAATATAGAACGCCCACCCCTGAAAAGGTAAGCCGTGCCGACAACGTCATCTCTGCTAGAAGCGAAGTCACCCTAATGGTCGGATTAGTTTCTGATAGCGATGCTCGAACAGGCTTTGGGTTAACTCGAGCGAAGATCTGCATTCATGAAGGATGCTGTCGTAGTTGC